AGCGACATTCTAACGGTTAGAAATTTTCCTTCTTTTCCTTTTTGTGGAAGGTGGCCTACAGGAAACTGGGACCGCTTGAAAAGCCTATTAAAGCAATAGCCGCGGCAACCGGTGCAGAATTGCGAACTCTGATGATGGATGGGCAAGTGTGATAATTAGGAGTTCAACCGCATACCGATAGATAGGTGGCCCGTAGACGTGCTGTGACAAAGGACGAAGAATATTTTTAGTGTATTCTGAGAACTAATGGATTAGAAGATTTGCTAGAAGGTTTAAACAAACATCTATTATAACAAATGGTGTGGCAGTTTTATTCAGTGCTTCTGTCATTTATTTATCTTTGGCTGAAATGAAGCGTCGGCCTCTTTAATCTATGATATTTTCTTAACTTTCCATTTCAACTTTCAACATATGGAGTTTACCAAGGCATCACGTAAGCAGCTACTAACTATCGACCAACAACTGTGCGTTTGTTGAGGCCATCACCTTGAGCCGTTTCCACAAGCAGACCGTCTCTGGCTTGCGATGTTCGCTGAATCGTAACTTTTCAACTATAGGGCAAAGATATAATTCAACTTCTACTGTATCGTAGAAGAAACAATTCCGCTCTGAAAGCAAATTTGCCTCTACATTAAATCTCAAAGTTGTATACTGGTCTCCTTCAACGCTTGACGTGTTTCGGCTTCCCAAACGAGAAGCTCGAGGGTTGAAGTAAACGGCTTATTATCAAGCAGTTAGTTTAACAGGGCCAACTACATTTTCATAATCTCCATATCCATAGAGATCACCTAAGCTGGAAAGAGAATGGAGTCATCCCTTACATGGTAATGCCATTTGACTCTTATTATGCGTCTAAGCCAACGGTGCAATACGCTGTTCAACCATCGCTGGAAAAACAGTTTCAATACTGCACAATAACACTGACCTAATCCAACCAAGCAACAAGCGGATTTTAGTGGAATCGTGTAACTGCTTTTTAGTGCTTATAATGAACAGATTATCAAAAGCACTGGAGGCATGAACGATTCTCTTACTTAACTGTAGTCAAATCGTGCCGAGGCTGGAGATAACGGATAGCAAATATTTATATTGGTCGACTCCCTCTATCATTCCACTTTCCGTTCCACTTATTGATCGAGTGTATTGGATGGGGTTTTAATAACTTGGTTTCTGGGTACTACGGAAGAAACCCGCTTTCGCAGCTGCATCGCACACGGAAGCCATCAGCTGACGAAGTCCGCTCCTTGTGTTGCTCACTAGGACAGCATCACCTGCGTACTTAGGTCAGCAAGACTTCTGGTCCGATATCTTCAACTGCAACTTCCCTTTAGAACGAGACCTTCGTCTTTGCAGGGCTTTCGTTGTTCAAGAAGAAAGTCGAGGACAATGTTGAAGAACAATGGCGAAAGAACGACACCTGGCGACGTTGAAAACGAATAAAGAACCATTCAGACAACTTTCCTTTGGTTTTAACAGCAGACAAGGCTCCCGTGTACGTCTTTTCCAAAACGGAAATGACACGCTAGCCATGCCATTGCGGTTTAAAATTTTCTACGGTTTGGAACGGTGTACTGAGTCGAATGCGGCACCTCAAAGTCGAGTCTGATTACGAAATTGATATGGTCGTTCGAAACATAGGTTCCTCTTGAGGTGTGTTTATACTTTCGATTTTGTCTGTGCTTATGAGGATTGAATTTGAACTTATAATTGTTCATGAACAATTTTCTGTCATAGTAGTTCGTTAAATTCGTCCAGCAAAATTGACGACTGCAACTCGATCAGTTACAACTACTTCCCTGTCGAATGGAATGGCATCACTCTGAAATCGTCCTTTACTTTAGTACATAACCTCCTCGTGATGCGTCATTTGACAATTGGAAACAGCATGCAGCAGGCGTAAAATCTAAAAAAGTCACGTGGCAATTGACTAGAACAGCTCGTCATTGTTGTCATCCTGGCCGTACCTTATTTTTCGTGGTTCTTCGTACAGTCATCGACGCCTTTAGCCTTCTGAGCTTCAACTGCTGGTGGAAAAGCGATTTTTTAAGCCGTTTGGAGGTAACGGCAAGAACGAGATCGATTCCATATGTTTAGTCTGTTTAATGCAGGCCGTAAGTAGGCACATGTGTTGGATGTAATGTAAGTGAGGCTGAGGCGGCTCGGCTGTGAGGATCGCTACACGCTGAAGACGAGTCGTGTTTTAGGGCACGTCATTGGCGTGTTTTCAGTTGAGCTCTACTCGTTTGGGCAAGTAACTCGCACAACCGTCGTTCAAACGAGCCTGGACGAGTCGAACGAACTGTTTCGCTTTCGCTGATATGTGCCGAGGATCTAATTAAGGTTAAAGTCGCGGTTAAAGCACGCTAGGATATTGATGAGTTTTCAAATGAGTGACAAGACCGTGAAAAGCGAGCCTCTGGTATGGCGGAGGCGGAAGAAGTTGTGTCGGTAAGTGAGTGACGAGGTTGAAAATGAGTGTCGTTGTTACGGTTGTGAGCCACGGACCGAAGCCGAGAAGGAAACGCCACACTTACCCTTGCCACCAGGCAGCTTGACGGATGCGAAACGGACTGCAGTGGAGGCAGATGGCGTCGGCCGACAGTACGGCACACAGGAACAGCATATAGAAACACAACAACATTTCGACAATGACGATGTACGACGACGACCAACAACAGACAGTGGAGGAGCGGTGCGACGCTGGGCAACAGCCACGAAATTTCTTCGCAGCACTGCCGCGTCGCTTGCAGGCAGCGAGTATAAGTTCGACGAATGTGCGAGTGTGATTCATGGATGCCAACTAATTTCAGTCACGAGACGTACTTTGTGCAAGCGACGAGTTTCAGTCAGCGATGACGACGACACGGTACTCGCTTATGGTCAATGCCCGTCAATGTGAGTCACGGATGAACGATTGGGCTGACGCGTTCCTCATCGCCGCCGAAAGATCGATCGACGGCGGCATGTTTCCCTCGACTGTGTCTGGCTGTGTAACTCGGCGCGGTGTCCGCTGAAAGGTTTTCAAGCTTTCTCATCAAAGTCGATTTTGCTTCCGTGATTCGAGGCTCTGCTCAGCCGAACCATTTGACAGGTGGCCAAATATGATATAGACCTCCCGTAGAAAACTGTACTTAAGATGTACTTCTCGCTGTATTTTTGAGACTGAGAATACGGCGGAGTAATGCATAATGCGATGCGGCAAACGGCACGGCTCCGTTGTTACCTTATTAAAAACTTTTGACTATCACTAATCTTGGTTCGTACATTCAAAGATCAGCTCGATATACTAACACGGAAAGACCGCGTCATTTCCTCCATAGCTTCCCTACCAGCTCATTGAATGCATACGAATAATAATAATAACAATAATAATAATATAGTTGTGAATATCATACGGCTTGGAATTGCTACATAACGTACAGCTACTTTATCTCTACAGCGGTGAGCTGGAATCTACTTGGTTGACTTGATCGAGTATGGAGTATAGTTGCTTGCTACCGCTACTTCCAGTCGTATCTGTCTTTTTAACCTGAATGATCTACATCTACATCAATTTGCTCATGTTATCTGGACAGCATTTTTTCATTCTTCCCTCAACAATCCAGCATCGCTAATTTAATTACACAGTCGCCGATCCATGAGGTGGGTAAATATCGACGTTTTGGTATTTTCGCTTCTTTTTAGCTTGAGTATTCTTGAGGAATGAGCGTTTGATATCCAGTAGTCGTAGTGTTTGTTTGCGATGTCATGGTCACTCCGGCAGCTTCAGACGGTTGTCGATGAGACCACCTTTCAGTTCGAATGTCTCATAGGGAACTAGCGTTCTCCTTCTTTGTTGGTTTAGGTTTCAATATGTTTTGCGTTACACAAAATCAGACCTTTTGTGAAGCCTTAAAATGGTGGATTTTTTATGCTCAAGCTATATAAAATTTGGCTTTTTCTTGTGTATGACTTTTTAAGCACTAACTTCAAGAAGCATTAATCTGACTGCTTTTTTTCAGTACGGAGCCAGATGAGTGAAAAGAATGCGCACTGCAGTTCAACTTCATAAATTTTGTGTTTTTAATATGAGCAGACATCTTCTTCTTCGTGTTTTTAATACGAGTAAACATCTTCATCTTCGTGTTTTTAATATGAGTAAACATCTTCATCTTCGTATTTTTAATATGAGCAAACATCAACCCCTTAATTTTCGGTTCAATGTTAATGGTGCAGTCTGTTAGTAGGTCGCTTTGCATCTTGCAGGGTTGGTTCGAACCGCATGAGCGGCATGATTTTCTCTTATTAACTGCCAATTCTCTTGGCCAAGGAATTCACGCCACTGTGCTTCGATGCTACCAGCCGCTAAAAAGGTTAGCAGGTTGTTGACCTTCGCATAATAGATACAGCGAGTGCGTTCGAGTGGTTCTTGAAAAACGTGCGAGACATTAAGCCATACCGTCTGAGGCGTGCACCTCGCGACTGTCATTCCCATTGACCCATTTGATAGCTAGTGAAAATCAGCACATGGTGTAAACGTAAATTTAAACGAAGATTTTAAAAATATATAGCCTAACTGTTCGCTCCATGTGTACGCTTTCTTCACCAGTTGCTTTAATTCGTTAGGGAAGTTCGCAGAGTACCTCTTCAATCCTGACTTAGAGTACGCGTTTCTCGGATTTAAATTTTTCCGCACGCTCTTTCAACACTGACTGCGGTCACTTATTCTCACGTATGCGCCATAACGCTTAATGCAAATGCTGTGGTTTGATGCCCAGATGTACACTGTACCCCCTTCCGGCTTCAACGTGGAATCGTTCACATGGTCTCTAAAATAAAGTATTTATTAGCATATTTATAATAGTTATAAAAATCTTAGATGATAGATTTTAAAAGAAGAAGCAGCCCTGAGGAACATCGTGTAAAGAGATACGGAACGTAAAACAGAATACGATTAAGAGGAACTACAGAGAGGAGGAAAACCTAAAAGCTCTGGAACGGATAAAATTTTGAGTGCGCTGAAAAACTAAAGATGAGCAAAGACTGCTTGTCGCAATCGGGTGAAAGCAACCTGCAGAAAGTTCTACAACAACCCAGTACTCTTCCAAAGTAGGCATAAATCGGAAGGTGCCGCAGAAGCCGTTCCCGAAGGCACCTGAGACGAAGTTGAGTAGACAATCAGAAACATGAACAATGGCAAATGTGGAGGCAAAAATGGCACAAGAGAAGAAAACATTATAGCCGGAGGAAAATCCTGCGTAGAGCTTTTCCGAAATGTTTTACAGAATACATAATTCTTCACCCTCATAATTCTCAACCGTCGGGAGGACGTCGAATTAGTCACAAGTCGAGAACATACCGGTTTTCGTACAGGATTTTCTACCGTCGAACATATTCTTGTCATCCAGCAGCTGATAGATAAATGCAAAGAATACCAAGTACCATTCTGTTTTGCTTTCATCGACTCCAAGAAAGCATTCGATTCGATCGAACTGAAGGCAAGGCCTTGCTAAATGCCTTGCATGAACATGATATAAACCTTACTTGCGTCAACCTGACTGATACGTCACCGGCCGCACGACTGACCTCAAGCTGGTCAATGAACCATGTCGAACCAGCATCCACCAGTGAGTGTGCCAAGGAGTTACCATTCCAGAGCGCTTTTCGTCGCGACCTTGGAGTCGCTCTTCAACAGGCTAAACTGCAGTAACGGTGTAAATGTTGACAGAGGGTAGTTAGTGCACTTGTTATTTGCACAAGACATGATGAAGCTCAAACAGTTTCAAGAAAAATCTCTCACGCTCCAATTTTATATTTACTTGTCTATGACAACATGGATGCGGAAGGAGCACTGCCCTGCTGACTGCGTCTTAGCGAATGATGACGAAATCGAAGAAATCACCAGCTATGTATATGCTGGCCATCAAATGTACAATACTAATGCGTTAGACAGAGAAACCAGCAGAAGAAGAAAGGCGCGATGGTTCAGCTTTAGCCTATTTAGACATCACCATTAGACAATAGGCCACCTACCTATGCTGGGAAAAAAACTTCGATTCGGTTCGGTTCGGCCATCCTACTCGCCATGATCTACAATACTAAATGTTGGTCTGATGCTAAAGCTGAGGAGAACAAACTGATGGTCACACATAGAGGGATTTAGCGTTGTAAGGGGCTAATCCTCCCCTGGGATTACGTTACGAGCACAAAAATTCTACAACTGACTGGATAACAGATGTGATTTCTGTCTTCTACCAAGCTGGATCGCTCTCGTGGCTCGCTTGAGAGACAACCGTGGGCCGCAGCAATCAAAATTAGGTTCTGCTAAATCACAAACGTTCACTCGGTGGTCCAATGACATTCTGGGACGATCCGATCATCAATTACTTGACCGGCGTTGAGGCAGAAAGAGGAGAACAGAGGATATTGGCGAAACGTTGTCTTGCGTTCATGACATACCCATAAGAAGGACAAGTCGGATAACGGATTCTCTGCAGTCTAACCGAGTCTTTGTGGAGATGGACTGAATGGAAAGGAAATCATCGTGCCTAATGTTTATTACTGTGTTGCTTTCTTTCGTACACCCACGTTATTTATCTTTCGACGTTTTAGTACAATAGCGCTTATGCACCAACGATAGACGAGCTAAAACGCAATTGCTGTTCTTTGGCTGCCATACGACTGAAAATTGCAGTTTCTTAATTCGGCTCTGTCAATTGCATAGACCAACAGCACCTACTTCGTTTTCGACTTTTTGTGGTGTAAAACAATGAATTAGCTGAACAGCACGTTGAAGAAACATGAAGCATGAAGCATCACGGAAACCATACTACCTGTTACAGGAAATCATGGCAGTCATGTGACAAAGGAAGTCTGATTCTTGTGGTTAATAGGAAGTCGAATTCTCTCGAAGAGAATACGACAGTGAGAGAACTGAGGACAAGGAAAACACGATGAAATAAGTCAAGAAGATGGCAGAAGTAGGCAAGGTAACTCTCTCACGATTGGCCAAATGAGAAATCTCTATGATTTCGACAATCTCTAGCCTTCGAACAGTAACTGCCTGCGTAAATGCTAAGTGTAGCTCGACAAAAAATAAAA